AAGTATAATTGAAAGTTTCATTATTTGCTAAAGCAGTTCTTTGATAGGAAAGGAATAAACATCTATAATGATAAATAAATTAAAATTCTATAATAACGATAATATTAGAATTAATAAAATTATAATACAGTACTTACAAAATGATTATATAAAAAATCATAATCCTTAGCTTATAAATTAAGGATTTTCTTCTTCTTTACCTTATAAAATCCTTACATTAATAATAAAAAGTTTATTTTATTATATAAAAATATGTCTAAATGTTATTTAATAAAATTCTTCATTGTTATAAATACAGCGTAATTATTAGATGTATTTACTAAATCGAGATATAATGTCGATTATTGTCATTTCACTCGAATTATTAATTAAAGTAATTAAATAAATATATTTATAATGTTAAAATATGTAAAAAATGTACCTTTTTCATTGACTTTTCTTATTGTTGAGTAGTGTAAACGTCGTAAAATGACGAACTTTATATAGAAATTTCTTAACTATTTTTTATTATTTAATTCTTATCCATTTATTTTTCTGTGAAAACGTCCTTGTGAAAACCAATAAGTTTGGTTGAAGTTGTTTATATAATTCGATACTTGAAAATTATCGAATTTCTGAAGACAATGCAGAAAGAATGATATAAACTTGGCATTGATGACACGTCTCTGTTACAGTACGTGAAAATACTTCAGAAAATAAAACATATTAAAGTTTCTTTGAAAAATAAAGGAAAAGATTATTTCAAATAACTTTATTATATATTTATGAATTAAATACTCAGTTATTAAATGTATTTCAACGAGGACGATATCAAATAAGTGGTGCCACGTACAGTACTTCGTATTTAATTCATTGCAGGAGGCCGTTCGAACTCGGAATCGTTTGAAGTTCGAATTAATTATTTCCATTAAAATAATAGAGAGCAAATTAATCTATTCCTAGACTCTAAACACCACCCTTCTAGATATACTTAATTATATAAACCAGCAACGAGTCGTTCAACTTTCCCGGCAACATTTAAAATTTTGATGGCGCCATCTGTTATCATACTTTATTAAAAATCTTATCATAAATGTATTTCAACGAGGACGATATCAAATAAGTGGTGCCACGTACAGTACTTCGTATTTAATTCATTGCAGGAGGTCGTTCGAACTCGGAATCGTTTGAAGTTCGAATTAATTATTTCCATTAAAATAATAGAGAGCAAATTAGTCTATTCCTAGACCCTAAACACTACCCTTCTCGATATATTTAAACAATAAATATGCCTTATTTAAGGTAAAAAATAACACAATTAAATTGCATAATAATAACATTTGATAATAATTGCCAGGTGAGTTAAAGTTACAAAATTTATGAAAAATACATAAAAGGGTGTCTTCTAACATCGTCTTTTCGCATACACGTGAGGAAATTAACAGTTCCACGGTGGATTCAAACTTTCATTTGAGGCTACTCGTCCACCGTGAAAGGTCGACTCCGCCGTGGAACTGTTAATGCTAAAAGACGATGTTAGAAGATACGTTTTTACGTATTGTCTACTTTTATGCATTTTTCTTGAATTTTGTAACTCTATGCATAATAATAAATTAAACCACGAAAACTATAAATATAATACGTAAACAGTGTATAATAAAATGAAAATTGGATTTACCGGTCTCACACTTTCGACTCCGGCATCTTAATTAAACACGGCGGTCAGATCTCACAGGGGTGTAAGGCTTTTCACGCTTCGCAACACATCTCAATCGTCAATATTATAACCTTTCTGGTAGACATCGTCGCTTTCACACACTTCTCGGATGCCGTAGTTAATAAGTAAATATTATATTTGCTCCAACACAAATTTTTGCATGTTTTTAATAGCTGACATTACTGAACACAGATATTGTGATTTAATTATAATACTTGTGAAGTTGAATATGATATGACTAATTCGAGATTGTATTTTCTGTTTAGAAGCTTATTTTAAACTTTTTACGTACAAGTCGACCCCCCTATAACACTGTTGATAATTCCGTTTTATATGAATTCCATGTTGTACGAGTCATTTAGATTTTACAAATACGTGTGCCGGGCTGTGAACGGCTCATGTATTTGTAAAATCTAAGTGACTCATACAACATGGAATTCATATAAAACGGAATTATCAACAGTGTTATAGGGGGNGAACATAAAAATTTCTGTCATAGTTCATTGTTAAATTAATGACATCAAATACTCTACTCAACAAAAATATAATTAATGTAAAAAATAGAATTGTCGGGTATTAATGTATTGCGGCTACGACCGCGACTATGTAATCTTAACTACCTGCAAAGCATATGCGAAGCAGGTTAATTAAAAGAGGAGTACCTCAAGCCAGTAGCATTTAATGCTACAGGTCAGAGGGAGTGCTCCACTAAATGTAAAAAAAAATGTAAATGTATAAATGTACTTTATATTTTATTTGAATAAAATCAAGTCGAAATGTATTCGGATAAAAAGCATATCGGCAATATTATGCCTTATGAGTTTCTGAAAGGATCAAAATCATACAAACAGTAAAAAGTGTTCGTAATGTGTATACGGAAGATGCTCCTAAACTTCGAACACGTCTAATGGGGTTGAAATAGTTCCTACGTTCGGTAAATCTTGCAGTAAAGGATATAAAACGTGCGGGCCGAAGAAATATTGTAGGAAGAAATTGTTAAAAATCGACGAATATCAAACAATATATATAAGAAAACACACCAAAATTAAAGCGAAAAAAAACACTGAAAAGACTAATTATTTTCTGAAATTTAATATATTTTTCTACATTCTTTCGAAATATTCTCGTATTTCTCGCACATTTTCGAATTAATCGAGTACTAAGTCGATTACAATAAAAATGGACTTAGTATCAATAACAAGAAGTTTTAAGCAAAATAATACTAATAAATTATTTTATTTCGTTTATTAAATAAAATACAGTGGTACCTCGGTATACGTCTGCTTTAGAATACGTCCAATTCGGAATACGTCCTGTTTGGACGAAACAAATTTTGCTCGGTATACGACTTTTGTTCGGTATACGACATAATTCAATTATACGCGCCATCAATGAACAAGTAGCACTATCGGTGTACTAGACCAGACTAGACGTTCGCGGTGCAACAGTTTATAACTTTGTTAAATTTCTTCTGATTTTAATTCATAAATAAAATTTTATTATCTTTATTAATCACGAATCGCAAAAAGGCAAATGAAAAGCTACAGAAAACAAAAAAATGACTAGAATTACAATGGAACTGATGAAAGAGATTGTTGAGAAATACGAAGGTGGCACGCGTGTTCGAAATTTTAACTGTTGTTTACTGTATTCCGAGAACGACGATATGGACAATCGCGAAAAATAAAGACATTATTAAATCTGCTAACGTTGCGAAAGGGGTTAAATCAATTTCTAAACAGAGATCGAAGACATTAGATCATGTCGAGAAATTGCTTTTGCTTTGGATAACTGAAAAA